ACAAGCCACTGTAGGGTTATTAATTGACCTAATTCCAATATTGTGTCTCTGGGAAGAGGGAGGCCGGAAGAGAGGGACTAGCAGTCTGATAAGTGGCCACTCCCCACTGCTTTGCCCTCAAGTCACCTTTCCTTGTTTCTGTTGTCACTTACTCAGTCCTGGGCTTTCCCCTTTTGTCCCCCAGGTGCTGAGGTAAAGCTGGGCGCATGCGGTGGCCAAAACAAAGTTACACAGAGTGGACTCCTTCAAAACCAGTACTGTGAGATGCAAATAAATGTTACATTTTAAAAGAGAGAGAAAGAGGGAGGAATGGGAAAAAAAGAAAGGGAGGAAGAAAGAAAGTAAGAGAGAAAGAAAGAAAAACAAAGAAGGGGTGGGGAGAGAAAGTTTGGCTAATACTGGTTTACATAAAGCTCCCCATACCACAGGTCTTCAGAGTTCTTGTATAGTGCTTCTCTAACAAGAGGCCTAATGGCCATGTTCCTGAGGCTGGCAGACCAAGGAAGCCTTTTTTTCACAGATTATCACTCAAATATGCGGGAAATTGTAGCTATGGTGCTGAGGGTACATGTGGGGATGAGGAAGTGGGCAGAGAGCTATGGAAAGAGAAGTGTGGTCAGGGTTGTGGAGGCCAGTCAGGAACTGTCTCTGTCTCAAAGAAACTTTCCAGAAGATTCTTATATACCACTTTTCTCCTCCCCACCCTCCTCAATTAAAAATCTCTGGTGATTCCAAAAACTCCATGTGCACAAGAATCGTCCAAGAGCTTTCTGATGCACAGGCACAGGCTATACTCAGAAGAGATTTAGGATATCCAGGGTGAATACAATAATTACATTCAAAACTTGCCTCCCAGTTGCTTCCAAGATGTATGGCCTCATTCTAAGAACCACTGCCCTAGAAGGTATGAAGGGCAGCAGATGTCGTGTTGTCTAAACTTGGTCATAAATGCTAAGAAATGAGCTCATGACTCAGAAATGACACAGATTAAGTCATAAGATCTAATCAGGCTTTGAGGCAAATAAAAAATCAATTCTTTTCAAGCTGATTTAAAATTTTTTCTTTTCAAAATTTCAGTTCCAAAGAAAAAAATTTCTCTTAAATGTCAACTGTGTCCAGCGACTTTGATAGGCTACAGGGCATTAAAAACTGAGTAATCCTCAGTTCCAGCTGCAAGAGGCTTATATTCAGATAATATAATATTATACAGATATGATCTATGTATATATTATATATATATATATAAACTAATACAAGTTACAGTATGAGGAGTGTTGTAGGAGAAGAAAAATGCTGTCTGTGTTTAAAGGAGAAAGAAATCATTACTGAATGAGATAATCTAACCAACGAGGCTGACATAATTCCAGGTAAATCTTATTTTAATAGTATTTTATTTTATTAATATGTATAAGACTATACATTTTCAAACATGATACAATGCTTTAGCTACTATTTACTGATAGTTTATGTTGACAGTTATAGAATTAGTTATAATAAATGCCTAAACTCCAGGACATGCTACTTCCCACTTCAGTGATGTTCTCTTCTTTTTTTTTTTTTTTAAGATTTTATTTATTTGATAGAGAGAAAGCATGAGCAGGGGGGAGGGGCGGAGGGAGAAGCAGGCTCCCAGGGAGTCTGATGCCAACTGGATCCCAGAACCCTGGGATCATGACCTGAGCCAAAGGCAGATGCTTAACTGACTGAGCCACCCAGGCACCCCCCAGTGATGCTTTCTTTAATAGCACACACAGGAGGGAAACATCTAGACTCTGAACCAATCACCTGGCCATCACTTTCCGTCTTCCCACATGGCAGCAAAGATCTTAGAAATCTATTCTTAAATGCTTCAGAGCTTATTTCCAGGTAAAAGTGAAGGCCAAAGCTGGGGGGAAACATTACAAAAGAATTTTAAAAATCCTAGTTTTCCTTGCCAATATATGACTGAAAGGCAGACTCCTAGGACTGTGCCATTCCAAGAAAAGAGAAGCCATTGTGTGTGATTGTATCAACTTCCTGCTCAGAATTTCCCCACTTAGCAGCTAGGTGAATGATGCCCTGCAAACAGGCAACAATCACTACTCAGAAATACTCTGAATGGGCAGAAATTCATTCATATGAGTTCACTCTGGCTTCTCATCATCAGTGTTCTGGTGACAGCACTTGCCAAGTACACTTAGCAAAATATCACACATCACCTTTCCATCTTGACTTCTTCGCATATTATTGTTTTTCAGTAAAACAAACAGCTTCCAGTAACTCTGCAAATGAAATATTTTAAAAGACCCATCTGAAAAAAAAAAGACCCACTTGCACTCCCTTCTTGATGATATGCAAAATAAGGAAATTTATTTTTATTATTCCTGTGGAAGAAACTTTACTCACCAGGTAGGACTGGCTAAGTGGGCAGATGTAATGGGAACAGACTTGAAATAGAGGGGATTTAGGTTGTTACACATAAAATTCCGCTATTATGCACATCCAAGTTTCATCAGAACTGTAGGGATGGTTGCAAAGTAAATTTAAGATTTCCATATTTTTGAACACGGAAAGAATTACAAAGATACCACAAAGTAACAGGGCCTAGGAGGATGGACAGAATTTTGAGAGATGAAAGAAGCACATTCCCGGAGGCTCCAAAGTAGCAGAGGCAAAGAACTGGCTGGCATTCCTTACAGGAACAGCCTGAATCTGTGTGTCTGGCACAGGGGTACCTCCTGTGGTGCCCGATGAGAACCACAGAAGGCAGATGGGACAAGTCACAGGGGGATGGAACGTCCTGCGTCCAAGAGTAGTTAGGACTTTCTTAGAAAACCAAAAAATACCACTGCAAATCTGTGACTGGGGAAAAAAGATCTGTTAAATGAAATTGGTCTTAAATAATGTGTTAACAATGTTTCTGTAGTTGGGGACTTTCTCCTACTCTTTCTCATTCCAACGTGACATTTCTTTCTCTGGGATGTTAAAATCAAAACCAAATGGAGACCAGCCTTGAAAATTCTGAGCTGACCAAGCCAGTTTTGTCATGCAAACAAAGCTTAATTTAGCTTATTTTGCAAGGCTAACTTGACCTTGGGTCGTCTCTTGCTTATGCCTCTAAAAATCATAAGCAAAACTCAAACTGTTTCCCAATGTGGATATTAGGTAACTATGGACCAATTCCCAAACATTTAATTGTAATACTATAACCAATCACTGTGAAGAATAAATGGTCACTGCTTTCTCACCACATAGGCTGCTTTACCACAATATACCCTGAGCCTCATTCCATGTTTTGGTTTGAGTGCGCCTGGTGTGCAAACTGTCTTTTTGGTGCTTGCCCAATAAAATCTCACTAATTACTGTTTTGGTCATTCACTTGTTCATTTCTGAACTTTTGACAGAGATAAGTATTTGGGCTCACAATAATTTCAAGTCCACATATATGAGGGATGTGGCATAATCACTGCTGTAGTCACCCACAGGGCCCCACCTCCCCTCTTGAGAGCCCCGGGCTTGCCGGTCACCCTGGAAAGCTCCGCCCCGGTCCTGGGCACGGGAAGCCCAAGAGCTCACCTCAGCTTCTGAGGTCCTGGCCCACACCTTCCTCTGCTTCCTCTCTGGGTTTACCTGCGCACCAGCTTTCCCTCCGTCCACACCCAGAATGCATACTGACAGAGCGCGGACACCAGGCTGCCTGCTTCAGTAGGTGGACTCAGCCCTCTGCATGATGACTGGCATGTAATAGGCACCCCGTGAAAGGCCCTCTGCATGATGACTGGCATGTAATAGGCACTCCAGTGAAAGTTTGTGGAGGAAATAACTATGTATTTATATCACAACCATTATGAAAGAAAAATGATACTAAGTAATCCCTCTTTACTTTCTTTTTTTTTTTTTTTAATGTTTTATTTATTTATTCATGAGAGTCAGAGAGAGAGGCAGAGGCAGAGGGAGAAGCAGGCTCCCCGCCTAGCAGGGAGCCCAATGCGGGACTCGATCCCAGGACCCTGGGATCATGACCTGAGCCGAAGGCAGACGCTTAACCATCTGAGCCACCCAGGTGCCCCCCCTCTTTACTTTCTTAAAAGTGAAGTATGAGGCAAAAGAGTTATGAGGTGACAGCAAGGCAGAGCCTGCTGGGCCCCCTCAGGCAGCCCAGCAGGGCTGGTCCCTGCAGCAAGCTGATGTCCCGAACAGGGTCACTTCTGCTCCAAGCCTGGCCGTGGCTCTACCTCACTCTGTAAGGCACAGGCTCTCAACAGAGACACGTGGTAGCAGCTTCTCTGTTCCTTGCTCACTACCTTCCTTCCTGCCCTGGGTGCCCTGCACTCTTGTCTGCCGCCTCTGACCTCACTGTGCCCTGGGATTTTCACATTTCCCAATCATACTGGACTTCCCTACCTTGGGGCGTCTCATGACCTCTATATTGGCTGGGGTTTTTTCCTCCATTTTTCCCTAGTGCCCTCCTTCCGCATCTAAGTAGCCAGGCACCTGAGTGCCCAGAGCTGATTTGGGAGCCCGGCCTAGGGAAGGTCCGACTGAATAATAGCCACCTCAACCTGCTCAAACTCGCGGGTTCCTCAACCATTCCCTGAGGCCAGCTTGAAGGGGGAAACAAAGAGGCATTCCTGAGCCTGTTCAGGCTGCGTCTGTGTGTTCAGGCAGTGCTCACTGAATTCTCAAAAACCCAGGAAGACCCAGAATGAAAATGAGGCGCTGACAGGTACAGAACCCGTGCACTATGCCTGGGCCGGCTGGGGCTGAACCCCACGGGTTTCGGCTGTTCCACCAGCCTACTGAAAAGACCTTCACCCAGGAAGGGACACATCACGCCCGTTCCTTTGCGAGATGGGGGTTTTTGCTACTTAAGTCTCAACAATGCTAAATCTAATAAACTCTTTACCTCTTTTCCTGAGAACCGGTTATCTGCAGAGATGGTCTGTCCTCTGCTCTGCTTAATTCCGCCTTCCTAAAACCCTCATCAGAGCAAAGTACTGGCTGGGAAGGGGACTGCTTACCAGTGCTCCGGGAGGCGTTGGGAGCCGGGCCGGCCCTGGCCGCTGGGAGGAAAAGCCACGACTTGGGTTCTTGGTCCGTGGCACGTGCTCCCCTGCCACCCCGGGGCCTCCCCTGGGCCCCGGGCAGGGACAAAGCCAGAGCGAGCACGAGGAGCACGGGCAGCGGGGCGCCTGGCTTAGCTGGCCGCATGTCTGCACACACGGAGGACCGCGCAGGAGGCTCCCAGGGGCTGGTCCCGAGGCAGGTGTGTGTGCCGGGACTGGGGGGTCCGAGAGCCAGGAGAGGGGCTGTGGGGAGGTGTCCCCGCGGCGTCCGGCTGGAACAGTGCTGGGACTTAGCCGGCGTAGGCTGATACCTGCGTTCCTCGGTGTCTCTGGGCGGGGACGCGGGGCGGAGCGGCTGCTGGGGACTGCAGGGTTGTCCCAGGGCACAAAGGCGAGTCCGAGCGCACCGGACTCCCCGGCACACACGAGCCTCGGGATCAGCAGGTCCTCGGGGCTCCCTACGGAATGCCCCTACGGGGCCGGGACACTGGGTCTTGGTTCAGTCCCTGAGGGTCAACAGAACCCGAAACTTCTAGGTCGGGACGGAAGAAAGCAGAGCCGGGACTCGGGCCATGGTGTGCGGAGACGGCGATTCCGGGGGAGGGTACAGAGCTCACTTTCTCCAGCCTGAATCCCGCTGCGCTTGGAGGTGCTGGCCGGCGCGACCAAGCCGCGAGCAGGAGGCCCAACCTGCCTGGAGGGCGGCTCCGCCCCGGCGCGATGGTGCCTTCTCCTCGCAGCAAGGGCGGAGCTGAGGACCCAGGAGGTCAAGGCTGGGCCCGCCGACCATCCACGCCCAGCTCTCCCGGCTCCCTGCTGGGGTTGCTCCGATTCCCCAGGCTGAGTCCTACTACAGATGAAGTCATCGAGGTTTACCCGTGCGCCCCAAACCGCAGAGGGCTAGATTTTCTTTTCTTTTTTTGTTTTGACATAAAAATATTTTTATTGACATAAAAATCTCCAAATATTTTGTGGATGCTAACAACAGAAAAATGAGATTAAGTCCACTTCTTCTGATTAAAATAAAATGGGCATCTCTGGATCAAATTGTGCTGTGTAAATTACTGTGATTTTAGTTATTTCATTAGCCCGATTTATTACCTTATATTAAGTATATTGAGAAATGTTTAAGTTACTCCCTAATCAATTGACTGCTAATTATCTTTTCAGATGCAATGTGGCAAATAGAAAGAGACAACTCAGAGGGAATAACCACATGAGGCACCGTCCAACGTTAAATTCTCCTACAAAGATATCTTGTTAGTCACAAACCCTGAAAAATAACCCCAATGCGTTCAAATAATTTTTCTAGATTTGGTATTTCCAACCTGTCCCAGGGAACTGGGGAAACATAAGCTTTTCAAGAGCCCTATAAAAATCATGCTAAATGAAACTTTATATAGAGAAAGATACTGTTGAAGACTGCCGCTTCCAATCTCTATACTATTAAGCATAAGAATCTGGCAGATGAGAATGACTTCCACCATAAGAGACACAGAAAAGCGATCTTAGAAAAATTACGTTAAAAGAGTCTCGGAAAACCCTAGATAGGTAGAATAAGTTCTTCTTACAGCTTTACTCAAGTGAAATAAGAAAGCATAGGAAGTCTATGGACATTGACAAGCATTTCAAAAATTTACTTTAATTAGAAATCTAGTAAGTTAGCAGCCACTGTGAAAAACAACTGGGAAGATACAAGTGAAATAATGCTGGTAGAAGTGATACAGAAGTAACAATGAGAAATGAACTCCAAATCAACTATCAGGGGAAGGAGGAAAAAAAAAAAAAAAAGCCGAGAAGCTCGATTATTTCCCTTTCCATACACTGAAACTAGAGGAAGTAATCGATCTGATGAACTTTTCAGGGCCTGACAGTTTGAGCTCTACTGTTTGCTCAGTCATTAGCCATATGACCTTGAGCAAACTATTTAGCCTCCATTTTTCTCTCTGATAAAGTGAAAAGATTGAATTTCTGTGGTCCTCAGGCTGTGTGTAGCATGTGAAAGAAGCATCTGGTGTGTGTCTGTGAAGAATGCAGATTCTGATACTCCCAGGGATCGAAGTTCCACCTAGGAGGTACCCAATGAATCTGCCTTTTAAAGGACTGTGGGTAGTTTTGAAGTAACTGGTCCTTGAAACCCTCTTTTATTCATTCAACAAAAATTATCTGAATGAAAACCAGAGGCCAGGCACAGTGGGAACACTGAACCTCAAGAGTGGGCAAAATTGACAAGATCCTTTTCTTGTTAAACATCTAGGCTCAGGGATCTGGTTCCCCAACATAATGATTTCATCGTAAATAATCAAGTTGTATATAGCTAAATAACCGTTTGTTTTTTCTTCTTTGTTTTGTTTATTGTTTATCCTTGACTACTTATTGTCCCAAGTAAATGCTACTTGCCGTACCTCTTTGTAATTAGTTCAGAAGCACCTTTAACTGTTCATGTAGATACAATCTCAGTAACATATGCTAACTTATTTTTTAATAGACTTTTAAGACCATTTTCAAATTCACAGCAAAATTGAGAAGAAGATACACATTCTATATAATTCCTGTCCCCTGTGCTCCCACACACATAGCATCCTCCGTTATCAACATCCCCAACCAGAGTGGTCCATTTGTTAAAACCGATGAAACTACATTGATAGATCATTATCACCCAGAGGGTTTGGTTTACATTAGTGTTCACACTTGGTGCTATACATTCTATGGGTTGGACAAATGTAGTATGACATGTATCTACCATTATAGTATTATATGGAGTAGTTTCACTGCCCTAAAAATCCTCTTGGTCCATCTATTCATCCCTCTCCCCCATCCAGCCCTGGCAACTATGGATTTTTATAATATCTTTATACTGTCTCCATAATTTTGCCCTTTCCAGAATATCATATAGTTGGAATCATACAGTGTGTAGCATTTTCAGATTGGCTTCCTTCACTTAGTAATATGCATTTAAATCTTTTCCAGGTCTTTACATAATTTGATGGCTCATTTCTTTTTAGCATTAAATAATATTCCTTTGTCTGGATGTATGACAATTTTTTTTCCAACACCTACTGAAGAACATCTTGGTTGCTTCCAGATTTTGACAATTATGAATAAAGGTGCTCTAAACATCTGTCTTTAGGACTTTGTTGGACATAAATTTTCAATTTCTTTGAGTAAAAGCCAAGAAGCATAATTGCTGGAGCATACAATAAGAGTGTTTTTTGTAAGAAACCACCATTTTGCATTCCTGCCAGCAATGAATGAGGGTTCCTGCTGCTCCACATGCTCTCAAGCATTTTGTGTTGTTAACTTGTTTTTTTTAATGTGTAAAAGAGAGGGATCTGTGTCTCAAAGTGTACTTAGACAATAACTAATGTTTTAAATAACCCAATATTTAACAGTACAGATGTTAGAAATAAGTTTTTAAGCTTCAAATCTTATTTTTTAAATAAATTAGCTAATAAATCAAACAGCTTAAGTTTCTCTAAATATTTAACACCAATAAACCCTATTCAACATTTAAAATTACAATCACAGGGCGCCTGGGTGGCTCAGTTGGTTAAGCGACTGCCTTCGGCTCAGGTCATGATCCTGGAGTCCCGGGATTGAGTCCCGCATCGGGCTCCCTGCTCAGCGGAGAGTCTGCTTCTCCCTCTGACCCTCTTCCCTCTTGTGCTCTCTGTCTCTCACTCTCTCTCTCTCAAATAAATAAATAAAATCTTTAAAAATAAATAAATAAATAAATAAATAAAATTACAATCACAAAATTAAATATATTTGATTCTCTCAAACATTTTCTTTGGTGGGGGAAAGAAGTGAAAACATTTAAGTTCTACTCTTACCCAATTTCAATTATACAATACAACTATTCAATATGATCTCTATTCACCATGTTATACATTAGATCTTCAGACTTCATTCACCTTATAGCTGAAAGTTTGTACCCTTCTTATTAACCTTTCACTATTTCCCTCACCCCCAGCCCCTGGCAACCAGTTTTCTACTCTGTTTTTATGAGTAACTTTTTTTAAAATCCACAAATACATGATACCATGCAGTATTTGTCTTTCTCTGTCTGGTTTATTTCACTGAACATCATGCCATCAGTGACTATCCATGTTGTCACCAACAGCAGGATTCCCTTCGTTCTCATAGATGAATAATATTCTGTTGTGTATATCTTCTTTATCCATTCATCTGTTGATGGACACTCAGGATGTTTCCCTATCTTGGCTTTTGTGAATAATGCTACAATGAACATGGGAATGCAGCTACCTCTTCAATAACCTCTTTTCATTTCCTTTGGGTAGATACACAGAAGTGAGATTGCTGGATCATATGGTAGTTCTGTTTTCCATAGGTGCTGCACCAATTTACATTCCCACCAACCCACCAAGTGCACAAGGGTTCCCTTTTTGCCATAGCCTCACCAACATTTGTTATCTCTTGTCTTTTTGTTCATAGCCATACTAACATGTGAAGTGATTATCTCATTGTGGTTTTGATTTGCACTTCCCTGATGATGAGTGATGTAGAGCATCTTTTCAACTGGCCATTTGTATGTTTTCTTTGGAAAAATATCTATTCAGTTCCTTTGCTCATTTTTTAATTGGGTTATTTTTTTGTTACTGAATTGTGTAAATTCTTTGTATATTTTGGATAATAACCCATTACCAGGTATGATTTGCCAATATCTTCTCCCATTCAGTAAGCTGCCTTTTCATTTTGTTGATGGTTCCTTTTGCTTTACAGAAGCTGTCTAGTTTGATGTAGTTCCACTTGTTTATTTTTGTTTTATTGTCTTTCCTTTGGTGTCAAATCTAAAAAATCGTTGCCAAGACCAATGTCAAGGAGGATTTTTCCTATGTTTTCTTCTACGACTTTTAGGGTTTTAAGTCTTACATCCAAGTCTTTAATCTATTTTGAATTGATGTTTGTATATGGTGAGGGGTAGGGGTCTAGTTTCATTCTTTTGCCTGTGCCTGTCCAGTTTTCCCAACACTGTTTTTTGAGGACACTGTCCCTTCCCCATTGTATATTCTTGGCTCCTTTGTCATAAATTAATTGACCATATATTATTAATGATTATTTCTGGGCTCTCTATTCTGTTCCACTGATCTATGTATCTGTTTTTATGCCACTACCATTCTGTGT